GGAGTTGGAGTTGGAGTTGGAGTTGGAGTTGGAGTTGGATTTGAGGTTGAAGTTGAAGTTGGAGCTGAAGTGGGAGAGTTGGTGAATTAAGAATTTCCTTGAGGAGAAGAGTCAACTTTCGATTCACTTAGCATTCTCCTTGCAAATCCACTGTATTTTTATTTATTTTTAGATACGTACGTTAAAACGTACCTAATCTATAACGAGAAGAAATTAATGAAGAGAAAATCCTCGACCGTTCGACAAGACTTAAGCCCAGTCTACAACTGCAAAGTCAAGTACGCAGCACGAGATGTGGATAGCAAAATACTTAACGTAAGACTGGACACCATTAATAGTGTATTTATTCCTGAAGTTAAGGTGGCTAAAATCAGTAACGGAAAGCTCCGACCAGTAGCATTCAAAGCGCGCTAAAACAGACTTCTTCTCTTTGTAGCCATTTGATTTTTAAATATGAATTGGTCAATTGATTGAAGTTTAAAATATTGGGTGTGGCGTGTCGATCGTCCTTATTATGCAAAAGTTATGGGGAATTCCCGAAAAACAGTTTTCGGATCGGTCTCAAAAAATCACCCATGGATTTTGTCCAAACTTAAGGATGTTGTATTTTGAGTCATGCCCTTGCTGATGAGTGAGTTTCAAGGAATTATATCTAGCCGTTTTAGAATTATGAAGCCACAAAGTTGGTCGTTGATTTTTCAAATTCAATTCCATATCACTCACAAAGAGAGCTCTAAAACAAGATCTGTTCAATATTTTCAGAATTTCGAGGCATTTGCTTATATCTATTTGAAACTACGGTTCGGCAAATGTAGAGCATTTTCATGACAACATTCTCCGCACCTATAATATTTTAGTTAATTCATATTCCTCGGGAACGCCTCCATAGATTTTTGTAAGAATTTCAGCACATGAGATACAATTTATATACAACAAAATGCATTCGTTTTGTTTTGGATACTGAATTTTTAAGTGGCGAAAAAATAGTGTCAAACACTAGCCATATATCTCACCAGTATCTGTTGAGCTCAAGGTATTCAAGTCTTTGTCTTTTCCTCTTGTGTCATTAACAATACCCTTCTAAGCTATTTGAATACACTTTACAAGTCATTGTTACTTTTTGTCACGCGAGCCGTGACTGTCCAAATGCGCATTTCCGGTAGAGGGAGGAAAAATACTTGCCGTGCGTGGGGAGGGGGGACTAAGAATCACGAAAAATCCAACATTGTAATTACGTAGATTGATGTTAATATACTAACACTACTTTGCCTGTTGAGAAGCCAAGGAACGGTAGAACACCAGGCCTGATATACGGCGAGGTTTTTTTGCATTCGGTGTTGGAGAACAGAACTTTTTGCAGGCAACTCGGCTTTTATTACATATTAAAATGGATTTCAATCCCACACATATCCATGTATTACTCTCTCTCATAGGTATGTGTCTGGCAAAATCAAGGTTTATTTGGAAGAAACGTCCCAATTGGCGAGGTGCACACCTCACTAGACCGTTTAAATGTCTCCTGCAGATTTGTAGCTTGGTACAAACTGTTTCCTTTACCTAATATAAGCTAAGTTAACCATCAAAAAGAAACCTCTTTGCCTTGGGCGTAATGCTTTCCCATTTCAGGCCACTTGTTATTTCCCTAGAGTATCATTTCTTTGTTCAACGATTGCACACGAAAAGACACATGAATATGGATACAACTTGAATAAAAAATCTTAGTCTCTAGGCAATGAACCTTGGTCGATTTGAAATGGGGAAACCTACGCCCAAGATAAAGACGTCTAGTAAGGAATGTGGAAAGTACGAAGAACGAAGGGAATAATCTAAAATGAAAGCAAGGTATTTAAACTGGAGCCAATCAGGAGCAAGCAACAAGATTGGATCACTGTGAGCTCTGGATTCCAAATTCTAGAATATTCGATCTCATATTTAATAGACTAAAGAACAAAAGGCTTAGTAAAATGTGTCTCACAGTACAGCCCTGTCTTTGAGTTCGATCTCTGTCGGATCCACCACTTTGGCATAATGTTTTCCCATTTCAGACCACCTGTCATCCTTCCCTCGAGTATCTTTTATTGCGCATGGCAAGACATATTTATATGAATACGATTCAAACAAAGAATCTTATTCTCTTTGCGAATGGTACGTGGTCTGCAATGGGAAAACCTTACGCCCAAAGTAAAGATCTAGAAGGTCTACACTGGAAATATGCTTTTAAAAACCTATCAATACAATGAAAGCATCCTGGAAGTTCCATTGCGTAAATCAGACTTCTCAAACCTACTTTTTAAAATACAGATAAAACTTTGGAACGCCATCATCCGAAATAACTAAACGAGAATGGTTTCTAAATATAAATACCTTTATGGATTTTTTACATACACTTATTTCAATAAAGTTAGTCACCAATAACCTAGAAAGCTGAGATCACTGAGGATCATGGGAAACAATTCACTTCAAACAAGTAAAACTTTTTTGATACAAACTGCAGCTTGAGGATGCTTAGTAGAGGTGAGACTGTAACTGGTAAAGATCTAAAATGCATCAACAGTTATTAAAGCGGTTGCAACATCTAAAATGTATCTACCCATAATCCTTCACGGTCTCTACTTTGTAGCTTTTCAGGTGACTAACCGGCTTTATTGAAATAAGCATAAACAGTATTTATAAAAAGAAACTTGATGCAACTTTTGACACGTGCATGGACACTTGTGCAACATGTTCTTGTCAAAGTCGAGCAACTACACTTTTTTTATAAAAAAAGTGAGGCAATATCTTGATTAAGCTAAGTTATCTGTTAGGACGTGTATCTTAACTAAGTTTTCGTAAATACGACTCGGACGACCCTTTGCTGATAAGAGCTTTGCTTATTGAAAAATAACCTATCTTAATATAAAAAAAAAATCAGTTTCTTATGCTAATAAGGCAGATAAACGAGACGATTATCACACCTTTTTAATAAGTAAACGTTCCAAAACAATAAGACGTCGTTACTACTGATAATCTCTAAAGATATCAAGAAATGGACTTAATTGATGCCTAGAGATTAGACTCACTTCGGTTTGACTCGAATTCAAAGAAACGCCTATAAACCTATGATATTCGATCAATATATAATGAAAATATATTACTTCTAGCCTTCGACATAGGGTTTTACCAGTTTTACCGACATATAGACTATAGCAAACAAATCAAACTTTCTTTCAGATTTATGACAATGTTATCGCCTTTTATTGAGACCATTAGTAAACAAAGTCTTATATGTATAACATTTAAGGGTTTTCGAAAACATACTCATCGAAAACAACAAATGACTCCATTAAAAGACAAATAACAAATCTATCGACAAACAAACAATGTATGATTGAGATCATTAGTAAACAAAGGATTATCGAAATCTATAGAAAAAAAAGCTTCATTATAAGACAAATCTATCAACACTGAATAAGAATCTACAGTCGCCAATCGTTATTACGGACATCCTCGGAACCGTCACGCACTTGGCGTCGGCCGTAACAGCAAACATTCGCACTGGTATTCTTAATAGATAGCTTTAATAGATCTAATAGATAAATCCACCGGGATTTTTATAATTATAGTTATACTCTCGTAAGTGTAGTAGGGAGGGTTGATTACAGTTATTTCTTTGTGTTTTCAACGGAAATTGTTTTTACTCTCTGCAATATAGCGAGTTGTTGTTGCGCAGTATTGGGTATCCCAAAGGTGAGAGTAGGACTGCATCGAGATGGCAGAAAAGGTTTTCGAGAACATACTATCCCTCTATACCGTTATGAAGAGCTACAACAAACAATAATTTCTCAAAGATTTAAGACAACCTTATCAATAAACCAAGGCTTTCACATCAAACATCGAACATCAAACACCAAGTTTAAGACAAGGTTTTTAAGAACATAACTAATCTTATCGAGATCTAACAAAAACTTTCTTGAAATCTAATAATTAAGGTTATCTAGATACCGTACTATTCCAAACAAAAGATTTCAAGAATTCATTAAAAAGTTTGTAAAAACATGAAAAGATCCCTTGAATGCCCATTGTTTATTTACTGTTATGCTGTAATCTAGGCCTGAGATTTTTTAGTACAAAAGACCGTGAGAACCGCGTCATGTGGTTTTCTTGTTCATCTAACACTTTTGTCAGTGTGAAATTAAGCTGCGCATGCAATATAAGGCGACATCATCGCCTCGATTTTTGCCGTCGATCCTAGAGGTAAAACAAGTGGACAAAATGAAGTTGTTGGTACTCTTCGCAATTTTTTTTCTCCTTGGAGAACTTGATGCCAAATATAAGCCAAAACGTAAGTCAGTAGCTACTTTGATTGTTGATTTTGCTATAAACTCTATTGAAAATGATGGCGCATTTTGAAAACACACGTACGCAAAACGCATAAATGAAAACGACAAAAAAACAACAACAACGTTCTTATTTTTAGTTTTTTTTTCTTTTTTAATTAACTATTTACTTTTGTTTAGATTTGACTGATCGCTTAAAGAAAAAACTAAAGAAAATGAAGAGTGCTGGCGGGAAAATCGCGGCAATAAATGAAGGTTTGCATTTGTCTTCACAATGCTTATAAAGAACAATTTCTATAATTTTCTTGTGTACTAATGTACTTTGACCATTGTACAGCGTCTGCATTCCTATTCCTTAAAGTCCAACTTTAAACATGATATAAAGATATACTTTATGTGTTTCCATTGATAGCCAAGTTATGATTTTCATTCATTTTGCAGATGTTGGAATGGCAAGCAGGCTTTACGAAGGAGACATAAGAGTTGAGCCAGAAGAGCTCGAAAAACTCAAGAACAAAATCAAAAAAATCAAAAAAATCAAAATCAAAAAATTGAAAAGCATCATATTCAAGAGAAATGCCATGAGGAATCGTGTGTTTGTCTGGAGAACTAAGAGGATTCCTTACGTCTTTGATGCAGATATTGGTATGGTTTGGTAGAAGAATTATTCGTTATAAGTAATAAACATAGAATAATAATAATGGGAATTAACAGTGGATTTCACAGAGTGGCTCTTCTTCCATTTCATTCCAATTTAAATTAAGAGGTTGGTTTTTACTGAGGGAGGAAAACCGGAGAACTCGGACATCGAGCCCGGTGGGACTATAACCAAGGTCGCATTGGTGAAAGGGGAGCACTCTCACCGCTACGCCATCCTTGCTTAAATCTTCTTTTAAAATTCTGCGGAACAAATTAAAGCAAAAAAAAAAAAAGAAAAGAAAAGAAAAGAAAAGAAAAATGGTCAAAATAGGAAAAGCGGAAAAGGGATCAAATTCTTACTACACTAACTTTGCAAAACCAGGCTTGGCTTTTTGTCTCGGAAAGTAACATAGGAAAAAAAATGCATCGGATAATGTAAATCATTTTACACTTCAAACTTTATGTAAATACGACGGGGATCAGCTAATCTCGACCTCTATTGTATCGAGCGTAATCCATATATGCACATTAGTGGCAGATCAGTCCTCTGTGATGTCTCAGGGGTATGGCATTTTTTAAATTAGCCGGTTTTTTAATAGCCTTGGGTTTAGACCACGCGCACCAAATCCAATTATTGGTTTTTCCTCCATTAGTATTTTTGTACCTTTAGGTGAATATAGCAGCATAAGAGGTAAATTGTAGACAGTGAACGCCCCGGTTTTATTATATTCACTTGTGTAAAAAACTAATCCTTTTTATGGTCTTTGCTTTCATGTTTTAGTGAGTGCTGGGACCTCGAATATTTTGAGCGCGATGAATATCTTTGCTACGAAAACTTGCATCAAATGGGAGCCAAAAACTGCTAGTGATGTTAAATTCGTGAAGTTTGTGAAAAAGGACGGGTAAGTTTAGTTATCATTAGCATCAAAACTCTCAAGCTTCTCAGTTACCAATTAGGGCCTTTTTCCAATCTCTCATATTCCATAAATAGCTAGTGATGTTAAGTTCGTGAAGTTTGTGGAAAAGGACGGGTAGGTTTGGTTACCATTAGCATCAAAAACTCTCACGCTTCTCAGTTACAAATTAGAGCACTTTCCCGTACCCAAAGCCTTCTTAGCTTTCTAACAAAACGCCGAAGGCACGGGTAACACAGAAATCGACCATGGATTTGATTGGTTTAAATTTTCATCATGATGGAGACCTTTTTTTTAACACCATGGACAATTATTCATATGTCTCTATCATTGCAAGCTCATCGCTCGTCTCGCCTTGATGCAAAGGTACGGCTACCTTTCAAGATGGCGCAGGGAACTTTGAAGGCGACTATTGTACCATGGTAGCAAAAGCTAAATTCAACTGCCTCTAGAATGCCTAAGTATGTGTCCCTATCGTAGGTGTTGGTCATATGTTGGTAAGGTTGGTGATAGTGGCGGACAAGAATTGTCAGTTGGTGATGGATGTAATTATGTCCCCACCATCTTGCACGAAATGATGCACGCGGCTGGAGTGAACCACGAGCAATCTCGACCCGACAGAGATGAATATGTTGTAATTAATTCTGCTAACATCATGGATGGTGAGTTCATTATTCATTATACCAGTGCTGTGAACAATCTAGCAAACATATTGTAATTTGTTTTTGAAGTTAGGCATTTGAATCGGTCTGACTGTATTGACGCTTTAAATGAAGAAATAGAAAAAGTGGGCGCGTGCTGTGTGCAGATATAAAGCACGCGGGAGTTGGCAGAACAGGCGTAGCAGAGTGCTTCTCAACACTTTTCGAGTGCTCTGCCAATCCCCAAGTGCATTATAACTCCACACAGCACAGCAAGGAAGATTTATATTTCTTTTATAAAATACAAATTACAATAGCCGTTATTTTGGATAGGAATGACGCAACTGAAAGGGCGCGCGCGTGCTGTGTGCTCTTATAAAGCACGCGCTCCCAACCAATCAGAACACGAGATCTATAACAGTTATTTAATAATGTGATAAAAATCATATTGGTTTAGCAATACTATCCTCACTGACACGTACCTCTTCATCTATTGAATCCAATAGGCCTTATTCGTGGCGATTTTCCCATTACATACCACGTGTCATTCCCTAAAGTATAATTTCTTTGTTTAACTGTCACGCATGCGAAGAAACATTTATATGAATACTATTCAAACAAAGAATATTGTTCTCCGGGGAATGGCACGGGGTTTAATTTTTAATGGGAAACCATTGCACCAAAAGGTCTATTGAAATTTACGTATAGCTGTCGCTCTTGCGGGATGAGGTAAAATGCAGGAACCGGAAATTCGATCCTTGGCGCACTGTGAGGGAAAGAATAACAAGCAACTCTGACTATCGTAACTTCTGGAAATGCCAGAAAGTCGAAAATAATGACGATGTCACCTTCACGTTTTGAACAATTGTTGTAGTATGTTGAACTAAACTGAATGAAATTTGGCTTGTCTCGATTTTTTTCAGGCCAAGAACACAATTTTCAGAAGGTCTCTCCTCTTTCGTCTGACACCTTTAACTTGAATTACGATTACGGTAGCCTGATGCATTATGGTAAAACGGACTTCTCCAAGAACGGCCAGCCAACCATTCAAGCTAAAGGAGATTCAAATAAGGCACTTGGACAGGACAATGGCATGACAGAGCTCGATATCCAAAAGTTGAACAAACTTTACGATTGTGACAGTCGTAAGTATATGTATTCAAAAAAAAAAATGCTTTGTTTAAGTGGTACTGATATTACTATATTAAACATTACCTTTCCTGTTTTAGCAATCTTCTTTTATTAGTTGAAAACTTATTTGAAAACTTAGACCTTCAATTACATGAAGGTCCGAGGGGTAACTTCGTGTCTTTGTAACCTTTGATGTTTCATTCTATTTTAGCATCATCCAACGCCTGGTCTACGTGGTCTTCTTATGGCCCTTGCTATCTCGACTCTTACAGCAATAAATGTGTCAAAATGCGCCAACGTTTCTGTACTAAAGAAGCGGTCAGCCAATGTCCAGGGGCAAGCTCAAATGGTGTCCAGAACCAGTTCGACGAAACCTGTACAACGTGCAATGGTAAGTGAACCATAAGGAGAGGAGAGGAGAGGAATAAAAGGACACGGAAGAGAAGACAAGGGGACCGACATACAAGAGAAATTTAGAGGTTTTAATATAGAAAACTAAGTGTATTTCTTTTAACTTTTGCAGTTTTCAGCAATTTATATCATTTGAATAATATAAAGATTTAGTCAATAGCAATTGGGGATCCTGTTTTTAGAAATTTATATTATTTAAATAAAGGTTTAGTCAATGGCAATTGGGGATCCTGGAGTGCTTGGAGTACTTGCAGCGCCACATGTGGCGGAGGCACGCAGCAAAGAACAAGAAGCTGTGACAACCCTGCACCAAAGAACGGTGGTGCCAAATGTGCTGGTACCAGTAGTGAAAGCCAGGCGTGTAACGCTCAGACGTGCATATCATCTCGTAAGAACAAAACATTATCTTTATGATTAGTGTACATTTGGTTCATAGGTGGCAGAGTGAATTGGAAGAGGGGGAGGGGGAGGGGATGC